CTGGCGTTGCCTGTGCAGCAGATCTGGTTAAGAAGGGAGAGGACATGGCCTGAGGGGAGACCCCAAACGGGGGATTTTAAGAAATGCGCAGGTGTTCATCGCCTTCCTGGTTTCTCCTCTCCAGATGGGCGATCCTGGCAGGTACCTTCAGTGTCTCCGGACTCTCAGGGACTACGCAGCTAAAGGCTCCTGGGAAGCACAGGTAGGCAGACGCAGAAAAGGTCCAGCTGCATGCTGACTGCTTTCTGATGGGCTTCTTGAGTAAGTGGTGCCCTATTGGCACCCGAGCCTATTTTAAGGAGTGAATGGGGAAAAAAAAATGTGTGCCGTTTAAGTGTTGTGCAGCTGCCAGCAGGAGTGCTCGCTGTCCTCTTTTCACATGAGAGGCTACATCGATCCGGGGGAGCGGAGATATTGGAGTCCTCGTTAACGCACCTGAAGCCGGAGTGTGGGAACCCCTGATTGCATGCGGTTCTTTCACTGTTCTGACTTGCCGTGCCCTGTCGCCGGTGTCACCGAAGGCTCTGGGGATCTTCGCATGAATCTGACCACTGGTGCGTTCCGCCTTCGGAAGGCTGGTTTAAGAATTCCAGAGGGAGTTTGCTCTTTGCCCGACCAGTCGGTGGGATAAACAATCTGAGAAAACCAAGAAATGTGCCAAATGCCCATTGCACCAAGAGAGGATAAAAGCAGATGAGGCACTTGTTTATTTCCCTGTTTGTGTAAGTGGTTCCACGCGCTGAGAGAATGCCTTCTAATGTGCAATTGCAGTGCTTATGACTGCAGTTAAAGAGACTCGGGATGGGATCTAAAGGTAGGGGCTATGAGATTAATGCTGTAATCAGCATGCGTGTGTCAGTAATCAAGTGCACTCCTCTTGCCCTGGGGTCGGGGTCATTTTGCTACTCGGCCAGACATAAGCTTGGTTCCTGACATTTGCCAAGCTAACCGGGGCTATAGGTTGATATTTCGAAAATACTGATGCAGTGCTGACCCGTGTTCGCAATGCGTACGGAGAAGGGCTGCATGCTTGATATTTCCTGATACGACTGAAGCATGGCGATTGTTTTAAATTCGTGCCGCCCGCAGTAGTCGGCCTTGTTTCAGCAGGAACAGGTGGAGATGAAACAGCAGAAGTGACTGCGGAGGGTCCGTCAGTTTCTGGGTCACTTGCTGTTTGGGCCTCTATTTCCTGCCAGCTGGTGTTAAGGGGACAGGGGAAGGGTTCGGTGGTGATGTGGCATTAATGAGACTTTTCTGCTCCAACCCGTCAATTTGCGAAATTGTCGTGGTGCTGTGAAATCCTGCTTTAGACCACCAGGCTATAATTTTCAACACAGCTGCGAAATAACCGCCACGAGCAGAACTGCACGTCTCCTGGGCCGAGCAATCTGACATGTGGGGAGGCTAGCGCTCGGTCTGTTTTTTTGTTTTTTCTGTCCAGTCCCCGGTCATTGGGATCTCGACTCTTCTGATCAAGACTCGTGCCCATGGGTTGGCGTTGCTGCCTCGCAGCCCTGGGGTTCAATTCCTGGGGGTGCTGTCTGGGTGGAGTTTGTATGTTCTGCCTGTGTTGGCGTGGGTTTCCCCGCGCAGTCCAAAGACATACTGTCGGGTTCACTGGCTTCTGGGAAAAGTGGCCCTGGCG